AATACAGCTGAAGTGAGGGAGGATGCTTTCAGCAATGCAGTAAGCAGTGAGCACACCTCCTGTAGGCTTTGGGAGGGAGGTGCCCAGGGAATTGGGCTACCAGGCTGCTGATAGCTGAACCCACCTTATGCTCTTCTGCCAGCAGACAAAAGTGCCCTCGCACCATGCCTGCTCACAGCCCCTGTGCAAGGCTCTCAGAGCCAGATGTATTGTGCCACAGCAGATGTCAGCAGCATATGGAAGAGGGAAGGAGAAAATTATAATCTAAAACCAAGAAGGGTGAGTGAACAGATTTGATGCTTAAGCATCGAAATATGTCTGTTTTAGGGCTCTGATATACCACTAATAAAAAAAAAAAACAAAACTGCGCTAAAAAAAGGTCTCAGCATTTAAACCTGGCGTTCACTGGATTTGTTCATAGGATCTCACTTTGCCTCTCCTTCTGACGTAGCTCTGCACTGAATTTGATCCTTTTTGGGTGAGACTTGCCTCTCTGCATAACTGCACTCTTTCTGCAGTGCTCCACCAGTCTGGCTCCCAAGTGCAGGGTGATAATGAAAGCAGGGTATTTTTCTTCTTAGTGAAATATCCTATCTCCCAAGCAATTAAATGTTGTTTATATTTTAAACGATGTGCAAGAGTTGAGATTGCCAGGCTTGATGTTACCTGAGTCTTGTGCAATGCACATCCCTGGTTAGTTCATTCTACTGTAACTGCCATCTATTTATTTAAATTTCCAATCTGTGCTCTCTTCAGGGGATAATGCAGTGCCTGGCAAAGAAGCAGCTTCTCAATTTTTAAATTATATTTCTTAAAATGAAAAACCGTGTAACTTCCCCATGCTCATAAAGAAACACTATATTAAAAAGGGAGGTAAATTCCAGGGTATTGTATATAACACTAAGATATTTATGTCTCCTTTGCTCAAAATATTTAAAAAGCCAGATATTCAGATATAAAGAGATTCTTTTGTTAGGTGATAGAACTATTTAGCTACTCACAGCAAGTAAGACAGATGTAGCATTTTAAAGAATCTTATTTGCAAGAAGTGATTTCTGAAGATGATACCATTAGGTACAGATATGCTTGAATTAAGAAAACCATAATGTTCGAAATTCTGCTTTGAAATACAAATGTCATAAGCAGAGATTAAAATGTTTTGTTCCAATGCACCTGACAGAGCAGCATTCCACTTAAAAAGGTTCAGCCTATCTCCAGTTGTGTCATGTTCTGGGCACCACATGACTTAAATGTTTATGACGCACCCAGGAAAATAGATGTCAGATCATGCAAATTTGAACCTAAATATCTACTGACACATTTCACTGTGCAGTAATAACACATCTGATTTAACACTGAGGAATTAAAATATCAGACACACACAAATGCTGCAATGAACCAGAAGAAGTGAAAGTAGTGTAATAGCAGAAGACAAAATATTCTGCTGGTTTTGTCAAAACAAGAACTCAGGATCTACTTTCAAGGGCTGTTTAACGAGGTAAATAACATTTACACTTCACTGTAAATGACCCTGGATTCCCAGAATTCACATCACAGATGAGAAGGAGCTCAGTGCTCTTCATGTTACTCATCTTGTTGGAATGCTGGAGCTCATTTCATTCTGATAACCAAGGCTCAGGCTAATGGCATGAATGGTCCAGGAAAAAAAATGTCCATACTGCCAACAAGGAGAGAGTTAAGAAGGACTTCATTTGCAGGACTACTGAAGATTGTAATAATTTTTTTTTTAAAAAGGAAAAAGGCAAAAGGGGAAGGGAGATACACATAAACAAACACTGTTTGCCACACACTAAATTGGAAAGTAGTGAAAAATTGCACTGGTCTGTGGTTTGATGGGTTTCTTTAATTTCTGCAAAAATCAAATGTTCAAACCAAGTCCTTTGCAGATATGAAGGGATTCAGGGTAGTCCACAGGGAATGGAGAGTATGTAATAAATCTTCATGTATATGAGGCCTCACATACAGTGGATCCCCAGCCCCAGTCACCAGGCGCTGAAGAACTGGTTCCTTTGCTCTGTAAAGCTCCACACCAGTGAAGACTACCTGGCTGAAATTTACAATTAACTTCTGTTTCAACTGGCATAAAAGTTCCTCTGTACTCTCTCACCCACAGTCACGGGTGTACCAGGTGATTTCGGCACACCAGAGGAATAGGACTATGCTGACAACACTGGGGCAAGAGCTTCCAGCCAAGTCTGTTACACAAAACCAATGAGTTCTTAGTCTTAGGCTGCAGTTTGCAGAAGGTGAAAAAAAAAGATACTGTCACCTCTGTTACAAACTCAGTAAATATCTAGACCACATTAGGGGAGCGGCTGATAAGCCTACTCCATGCCTGCTCACCATAAGATTTCCTTGCTGTCAGGAATTTCCAAGGTTATTTTGACAACAAAAATTGCTTGGATTCAGACCAAGTTATCTACATCTGTGGTTGCATAGCAGTATCTTGGGTTGAGATATGCTTAGTTATTTTGGCTTGCTTTTTAGCTAATGTTGCCCTGTGAGCTTCTGGAGGCACTGCAGGAGCTGAAACCTGCATATTGGGCACCTGCAGCTCTGTCTCATGAGCTGGCAACAGAGCTCAGGAGTCTTTTGAAGTGGGCACCATACCTTTCCTTAAGAAAATAACTGCAGAGCATCTGCTGAAGAACCAATCTTTCAGGTTAAATCTTGCCAAGTGCAGATATATTGTGATCCCTCTTTACTTTAGGATGAATTGTCCAGGCTTTTGCACCAGTTCAAATGTGTGATTTTAACTCCAAGTTCTACATATCTCTGAGTGTATGTGTATATGTGTATGTCTATGTATGTTATGTGTGTGTGTGTGTATATATATATATATATATATTCTGCTACTTTCACTTAAGCCCATATTTAAATTGTGAATGTATGATGATGGCCAGACTCAATGTTAAAGGTCTTAATATGATTCTATTGCATGAACTGTCCTTTGCCAGATTTGAAAAATTTTTTTTATTGTTGCTTTACTTCTTTTTTTTAGGATGTCACAAAGAGCTCATGTGGTGATTCCATGTTGCCCAAGGGAGCCCATAAAGTTAAACACCACTATTTTACCCTATGGGTGTGATGCCATAGGGAAGGTAAAATAGACCAGTGTAACTGCTGAAGCTCACCTCTGCTTTCTTTACTACCTAGAACAGGGCATACCTCATGCCCACTGAGAATATAGTGGTCTTTTCTGCATTCTCCACCCTTAACTATCTGTACAGATCCAGGGCTGGTGTCTTTAATGTCACAACAAGGCAACTGTTAATTAGCAGAACTTTTAAAATTGCAATATATTATTTTCCTGGATTTTAATAATTTTCAACAACAACAACAAAAAACCAACTACCCTTTTCTCTCTATTTTTTTTTTAATATGGTACATTGCTGAAAGTTTATTTCCAGAGAAACAGTTATAGCATTGGTCTATATTGTGCTAAAAATTTTTTATACTAAACTTGAGCGTGTATGTCAAGCTCTGGTTAAATTTCCCTTAGGAGAACCAAAGGCATAAATGCTCGGAGTAGATTTTAATTAAGTATGGAAACTTCCCAAAATGAAAAGAAAAATCCTTCTAAATATAGTCATCTTAAACATCTTGCAAAAAACCACATTCATTTGCCCCAAGCAATGACTAGCCATATGGAAGAAATTGTCCAGACTTCTTGCTTTTTCTGGTTTAGTTCAGGAAACCTGTAGGCCTTACAACCTAAAGAAAAACTTCCCTACAAAAGATTAACTCCTAAAATATTCAACTAAAACCAGATGGATCTAAAACTAGACTGCAAGCTAGGTATGAATTAAAATTTCTTATACTAGGGCCTCTTTTCTCCTGGTCTATCAACCCATCTGGGTTATTTTACCAATCTATCAGTTGGCTAGATCCATGATTTTATGGAGAAGTGTATTTGGTGGGGATGAGAGTCAGCCAAACTAGTAAGTGACTGAGGTAGTAGTGACAACTAACAGCAACCAATGCAGTACTCAGAGAGACAGCAGGGTGCATCTCTGCTCCACGCTCCAAGGATGAAACACTTTGCACTGTCCTTCTTCAGCTGCCCAGACACGTTTCATAGTTAGAACAGAGACCAGCGTGATGACAGCTGGATAGTCTAAGCCTAATCTAGATAATTCTGAAATAGTGGCAAGAATCACAGCTTCTTGTGACCTGGCACACAGTTAAGCAATGTGCCTGGCCATCATGGGGGAAAGAATGCCAAACACAACTGCTAAACACTTGATGAAAATAAATACAACTCCAAGCAGTGTAAGAGTTGTTTACTAGATATTTCTTTTAAATTTTGTTACCATGAATAACTTTATTTCTTCCCTTCTTGCTGTTTATGTTAGCTATTAAAATAAAATGAATCCTCAAAGTGCACCCTTGAAAACTATTAACTCAGGAAATGCACCTAGAAAAAAACAAACAAGGAAGCAAACACATACCAAAACATGACACCATACTGCACAAGTAATTCTAAACCTAAAGAGGGAATGAAAGAATGGATGGTGTGTGTCAGAGATAAGTTTTGTCAGCTCATGAGGACAATTTGAATGCCAGAGACAGTCAAATGCATGTGATGGAGTAACCTACATGTCAAGAATTAAATTAATTTTAAGAATAAAGCCTTTCATATGAAGAAGGATGCTTGCAACAAGTTATCTTACTGTGAGAGTATTTCCAAGATACACGATTTCAGCAACTTAACAGAAAAAAAAGCCCATCTGTAGCATTCTGAAGGCTGTGTTTCAGCTGTTAAAGCACAGGTAGATAGACAGATGTCATGCATTTCCAGCAGGTGGGCGAGTATCATCACCATTGGTATAGAAAGGGCAAAGAAAGCCATTTCAGTGGGGGAGAGCTAACAGGGCAAGTAATGAAACACATCACAGAGAAACTCTTCACTGCTCTGGCCTCTGCATGGCTCCTGCTTTTAAGGAATAATAAACTGAGAAGTAGCAAATGCTGCTTACCTTTCAATTTTTCAGCCAGCAAAGCAGCTTCGTGTTCAGAATAATGCATTATTGCTGGAGGTGAAGGAGGGCGCAGTCTGTCTTCTTCCATTTTGCGTCTGTGGCGTTCTTCTCTGGCCAACATTCTTTGTTTGCATTCCCATTCATAAAAGTCATCTCTTGCCTGAGCAAAATCAACATGAAGGCGACCTGAATCCTTTTTGTCTGTGCTAGATCCTAATCTCATGCGGTAACCTGAAATCAACAAGTAGAACTAACTGTTGCAGGATTTATTTGCTTAAATTTTTCTTCATTTTTCCCCCCTTTTCAAGTGCAGCCAGGTAAAAATGTACATTAACAGATTTCCACATGTCTATGCAATATCTATCAATCATCGTGTTTTCACAAGAAGATAAACATCCATCCACTCATTTTTCTTCACAATTTCCTGGACCACCTATCACCATAGTAGATGAACTGAAAAGTCAACCCTAAGGTATAAAACCTACATTTCTGTTTAGAAGTCTGTCAAAATATGTAATTCTTGCACTTGATGCTCCCAACTCTTAAAAGCACAACAATCAGATAAACAAAAAACAATTACAAAAAAAAAACCCAAAAAACCCAATATTGTTTTAGTCTGAATGGAGAGTCTTTCTTCCCCTGATCCTGTTGAGATCATGTTCAGTCTAGTGTTTGTCTCCACCCTGCCAAAGGAATTGGAAGTATGGGGAAAGGCTGAATTTTCTAATAACCATGACTACAAGTGAACGGGGAAATTGTGCTACATAAATTCCTGTGCTACAAAGAGGATGGTTCCATAACTACAGTGATGCTAGATCAAATTTTGAGACTTTACAATTGCAACCACTATTTTCAAATTCCCCAGTGAAAATAATCTAGCAGCAAATATAAATCACCTATAAATTAATTGAGTTCATAATTCCTTAAAGTAATTTCTAAAGTAGGGACAGATTTATTAGGCATTTGCAAGACTCCTTTCAGAACAAATAATGAGATCTGTTGTGCCTTATCTTTAGGGATATTCTGCATATTCGTAATTTGGTCAGTGTATCATATTCTAAAGTTAGCACACTGCAAAGGCTTCAAGTTAAGGGCTACACAGCAGTACAAAAGGGCCCTGCTCTGAACTAAAACCCTTGACTACTGTCAGAGGTCAAAAAAATCATGCCAGAGCTGTAAGAGGAGCTTTTTGTGGCCATATTTAGGCACCTGTCTTTTTTCCAAGTTTTATTTCTGAAGCACAAAAATATATACAGAGCAGTTCATCTAAGTTTTAAAATGACAACTCAGAGAAAGTGTGAGAAAATACTATGTAGAAAGCTACAAACAGAGTCTTCAAATGTGGGTAAAATTAATCAGTCTACACAGGATAGCTCCAATTTCTTCATGCCAACATGCAACAGCCCAGCAGAGATTTCTCAAATGACAGGATGCTGCAGAGATGAACTCTGTGCTGAGCTGGCACACAGGAAGCTCTTCAGAAAAGCACACTACTGCAACCACTGCATAATAACTCCAGGAAGAGGAAACTTCTATTCAAAATGTCAGGAAAGATGGTGTTTGCTGCTTTTGATCTGCAATCCAAGAGAACCTAACTTCCAGTCTTGTGGTTTCCCTGTGGTTTTAAGAGCTTTAGCACCTCACCACCACAGTTAAAACTCAGTTCCAAGCTCCCTCCAGGAATAACAAAGCTGAGAATTGTGTGGTAGATTAAGCACATCCTTGCAAAAATGCATATCTAGGCATACTCTTTTACTGCTGGAAAAACATCCTGCTGTATGAATACAAGGAATTGTCTGTACTACAGCAGACGTGAGACAATAGCTTCAAAGACATTAAATATCCATATATATAGTGATCCTTCAAATAAAAATTAATCTGGATGCCTTTTGATTTGATATTTTCCTTTCAAACACCTTGGGGAGTTCAGCAAAGGAGTCTGCAGGTGAGGAAAAGATATGACTTTCATTGTCCAGCAAGGAGCCCAAACCCAGATGAAAAACTTGAGCTGAATGTTTCAGAGGTCCTTCAAAACCAGAAGGCACAAAAAACTGCCTCACCAAGGAATGGTTTTGGTAGGTTCCTACCAATGGAACCTATCAAATCTGATCTCCAAGGTTCAGGAGCTTGGGGTGAAATAAAACTGGAGTGGCAATGGAGGAGATTGTTTATTGTTTAAATTCCTCTTGACTCTGCTTTCTCTAGCTTAGAGACGTAAACACCTCTCTTTCCCTCAAAAAGCTTTTTGTGGCCATATATGTAGCTCTAGTTCCAAGGTGGGAAGGGAAGGGTTACAGATACATCCTATTCAGTGTGACATAATAGAAGAAGAGCGTGGGTGACCTTTCAGAACTAATGAGGGTGTAATTATATGGTTTTATCTATAGAGGTGTAGGCACAAAGGAGTCAGCCAAAAGGGGTCAGTGGTGCAGCTACCCTGATAGCTGTGACAAATGTTAGCCCCCTGCTCCCCGCCAGTTTGGCGTGCCAGCTGCATTCCTCACACAGTGCTCGCTCTGTGCCAGAACAGCATGATCAGCAGTGAAAAGGACACTGCCAAGGTGCCAGGTCTCGTGAACCTAAAATTAGATCTCCCAGCTGGGCTGCACTTTCCAGGAAGACTCAATCTCTCTTCCTCTCCCCCCACCATCTTTTGTCTCCATTGGCAGGAGCACAATAGTTATGGGCAGAGACAGAAATGCAGCACTGCAGGAGGCAAAACTCTTGTGCACTTCAAGGCCCCTCACATAAGCTGAATAAAGAATTAATGAAAAGGACTGTGCATCTATAGGTTTTGTGTGCACTGGCAAAGCTGAGTTGTGTTAAAGTGGCCCTCATTTTTTAAGTAAATAAAAGAACCAGAACAGTGTACATTGCAGTGGCACTGGACAAATGGTTCCCTTGGGATACCAGTTTAAGTGCCTTCAAATCAAGAGATTTTGGAAATTTACCATGAATCACACTAAAAAAAAAAGTGACTGCTTGTTTAACCCTAAAGATTGAAGGCTGTCAGCCAGCCATGTGATTTCCACCAGCACAGAAACTTGAACAACCTGGCTAAGAAGGGACCTTGGATATCACCTAGTCCAGAGTAGGGTTAGCTTCAAAGCCAGACCAGAACGCTCACAGTTTGGCATCTTTCCCTTAACAAAAACAACAAATGCCATTAGGATGGTTTCTTGCACCCTCATATATTAGGCTTTGCAGACACTATAGGACCAATGGCCTGGCAGTGAAGAACAGACTCTTTCATGGGTTGATAACCAGAAAGACCCTGCATGCACAACTGGCAGGTTCTATTTTGTACACGAGATCCTCAGGCACCCATCTGTGCTGGAAATTTTGAGCCCCAAGGCAGCTGGGAGGCTCGTTCTTTTTCAATATCATGTCTCCCTATTGATGTTTGAGGGTGTTTAAATGCATGAGAGAAACACCTGGCACTGCCTCCCCTTCATGCATGGGCAATGAATTTTTTTCCCCATCTCTTTGCTCAGGGCTACAGCAAGCATTAACTTTGTGCCTGGCTTGTCATTTTTAATTTCAGGTTTGCACACAGTGGAAGAGGAAAAGACTTTGGGAACTTGCCAAGATCCTCACTTTAAAGGAGAAGAAACAGGAAAAGTTAATGAAGGTGCTAAATAAAAATCAAACAGTATTTTCATATCACAGGTCTAGTGCAAACTCCATGGCTTGACTTACCTTTGAGTGTTGCTTTACTGGGGACCAGCCAATAGCTGAGGGCTAACTGGGGATCTAGATCAGAGTGTTAATGGTGATCAGATCAAAATAAACGAGTAAATGGTACTGAAAGGAAACCCACAGGGGAAAATATCAGCACAAGAAAAATGCATACATGAGCTTTTGGGGTATAAACGGGTCTGCCTGCAGAGACCTGTTTGTCTCATATATTCAAGTCTGAGGCCATCAATAGTTGCAGGAGTTATCAGCCAAATGAGTAAAGTACATACAGTTTTGAGAAAGAGCTTTCTCATGGGCTGGTATGATGATTTTAGAAAGTCTTTTCTTTGGGAGATCAAAATATATCTTTAAGGTTTAAATGAAACCTAGCCTTCCTCAAGTCAACATTTTTATCATAGCCTTCTACCCATTCGGTCTCCCTTTTCATACACATTTACTTGGGAATACAAAGGAAAAAAAATCAGTGATTAAACTGCTTGATGGATTTTGTAATCACTTGCTCTATTCTGATGATAAGCATGGGATAAATGCAAAACTTGATGAGATTAGATGGGGTAGACAGATAAAACTGATTAGGTAGACAAAATTATCATTATACCAGAAATATCAAAGGCATGACTTTCTCCTAATATAATACACATACTATATTTGTACATCTCTTTTGTCTCTTACAGGGAAAATAAAATGCCTTAAAAATATGCTTTGTTCCCACCATTTCAGAATATATTATGTTTGAGAATGGAATAAAGACTGGTAAACCATCCCCAATATTTCAGTACAAGGAAAACATGCCCCTGCCTAGTGCAGACCTCCCTGGTAGTGGTGGGGGAACGGTCAGTGCTTCATGTTTCCTCTGCAGAGCTCAGCAGCCTTGGTAAAAAGAAGTGGAACGTGGCTACAGAGTGCTCCTGCATTTCTTTCTCATCCCTGTCAGTTCCACTTGTTCTTTCCCTTGTCTGGTTGGAGACAATAGGTACAACCCTTTGGAAGAATGAAAAGGTGTGGAGGGAAAAAATGATGGGCAGGGATGCTGCGGATATAAAAGGAAGCACAGACAGCAGCATGACTGTGACAGAAGGAAAGATGGATGGATCAGGAACTTGGAAGTAAATTTGCAGAAAATTCCAAATGAGGAAGAATGAGAAAAGGAATCTTCCACCTCTTTTTCTAATCATGTCCCGTCTTCTGAGCGGTCCAGTGCATTATGAATGAGAACACATGGCAGCACACAGAATTTCCTACCTCTATGGTCCTTCAGGATTTAAGACAAATGAAATTAAAATAAAACTTGACTTGGAGCGAAGCAAAGAGTGCAGCCTTTGCTGCTGAGAAGCAGGAAGCCGAGTTGGAGGAGCACTGGTTCTGGTGCAGGGTATCAGCCTTTACATTTTTGAGCTTTTCTTTGCTCTCTTTTTTGCCACTGTTTTGTTGATCATAATACAGTAATACCAGTTCCTATGGAATCTGGTGTGCCTCTCTTCTGTTCTGTTACTAGGGTCCCCTAAACAGAAGCTGGAAGCTGCTAAATGTGCTACTGCTTGTGATGCCTCTAATATGCTGCAACGATCTACAGCATTTTGGGAGTACCATGAAAAAGCAAATAAATAAGAAGCATGGAAATCAGCAACAGATTTACACAGACCCCATAAAAATCATCATTTTCTGTAGTTCTTCAAATAGGTATTTAAAGAAAGCAAGCAAGTTAGAAAAAAAACCTCAAACAACCTAAAAATCCTAAGGAAAACCTTTGTGAAACAAAGGAGCTAGGTTTTTCCTGATTACATATTTCAAAAGTTGAGAGGCTTCTTTTTTTCTTTTTCTTTCTTTCTTTCTTTCTTTCTTTCTTTCTTTCTTTCTTTCTTTCTTTCTTTCTTTCTTTCTCTTGTTCTCTTTCTTTCTTTCTTTCTCTCTCTCTCTCTCTCTCTCTCTCTGTTTAGTTGATGGTGATTTGAGAGATAGCTTGTTTCTAGCTGTGTGAGCCTCCTATGGATACCTACAGGATGTTGAGATTCTGTGCTTATTGCTAAACAGGAGATGGTCAGAGTGGGAGCTCAAACAAGAATCCTGGGTTGTTAACTCTCTCCCAGCTCAAAAGGATGGTTCCAGTGGGTGATTTAAGGTCACCTGGAACAGGGTGGGTGTATGTAAGCCAGTCTGTATCAGCTTGTCTTGGCCAAGGAGCAGTCCCTGCACTTTGTTTATTCAAGAATACATTACATATGAGTTGAAAGTGTTACACTACAATTGCGAGGCAAAACAGTGCTTTTGAGTCTCTCCAGGACTCAGAAAGATGGATGAACCAGCCTGTGGAGTGCAGACAAATACATACAGTGCGTGTAAGCCAACCCAGTAAGGTGAAAAAGGACTTGGTTAGCAAGTCAATCCTCAAATGAAGGCGATTTTAACCTCAAGAAGTCACAGAAGCCTAAAATGTGAAAGCAGATTTGTTTTTCATCTTTTGCCTTAATTTTTTTCCTTGTGAATTAGAGGTTGGGGGAGTTGTTTGTTTGCTTGGTTTCTGTTTTGTTTTGGGTCTTTTTTCGTCTGTTCCTTTGTTGGAAAATAAAGCTATTCTGAAATTTTACACCCTGTAGTTTCTGTAGCACTCGTTGTCATGGGAGGCAACAGACGCAGCCTACAGATGGGGCTCAGAATCTAACCCATGCAGTAGCTGAATACATGCATGCATAAAGACAGACTTTATTCAGGCTGCACCACAAATCTATAAAAATATGCCAGTGAAATTGCCAGCCTATCAGAAAAATTGGCACTGGAAAACAGCAGAGTTCCTGGCCTGGTGCCCTCCTCTTTCCACAACCTGCGAGCAAAACTATATAAACCTGCGTAAATCGAAAATAAGATTGTTCTGTGGTGAATTTCATGATCTGCTGCATTGTCGGGATGTCAGGAAATTGCTCCCAGGTAAGTAACATACAACACCATGCATGAGTCTTGGCAGACAGAGAGAAATAACAGAATTGCTCCTTGCCACTCCATGCTACAGCCACTGAGTTCAAGAAAGACTTGCTGAGATAAAAGCTAAGAAAATAAGCAAGCATTAGCATCACAAAATACAAATGAGAAGCAAGGAAAATCCATTAAAGAATGTGAAGTACCAGAAAGGTAAATGGCTTTATCAACCATGAACTCCTCTGCAAAACGAATGTGACAAAAATTCTTCTTGCTTTTCCGAATTGCTGTTATATCTCCACACTGCTCAAAGACTTCCTGAATAATTTCCTCCGTTGCGTTTTCTGGTAATCCTCCAACAAACACTGTTTTACACCCAGGAGGTCTCTCTCTTGTTGAAGGTGGTGGAAGATCTAAGTCAAAACAGAAATCACATTGGAATACAAAATTTGTCTTTTGATCTATTGGCTCTATTCACCCCTTTAATCAGTTCTGGGCAGCAACAGTTACTTGACATAGTATAGAGGCAGAAGAGAGGGACAAGCAAAATAATTGAAGATTGCAGAAACTATCCAAAATTGATTACTTGAATATTAGCTCTGTCAAGCTTTAGGTGGTACTTTGAACATTAATTCCTGCCCCTGCAGGTTGTTGTCCAGGACAGACGGTGTGGTCTAAAAGGGTCTTTCTTTTCCCTGTACAGCCACACAAAAACCAGAAAAATATTCTGCTTCAAAGCAGAGGAGCTTCTGCAACTGATTTGACCCTGAGCACAGATCTCAGTCTCTAGTGCAGTGCATTCAAAGCCTGAACTGCATCATCTCTGGCTCATACCCATCACTCACCATGCTCACCAAGTGTGGGGGCTGTGAGCAAGCCCATGCTGTGTTCACCCTGTGCACTTCGGCTGGACACCTTTCCCTGATATTAGCATAATTTCATTTCTGTCTCAGAGTGCAGGAGCACAGCAAACAGAAGAACAAAGTGGGAAACACAACAAAGTGACAGCATGATGAAAACACTGTGCCGGTTATCTGTTTTGTCTTGTTGCCAGATAATGGAGCAGACGCCAGCACAGGGGAAGGATAACCTCATTGTTTACAAGTGCTCATGAGGTGGAGTAGCTAGAAATGCTACCTTAATGTATATACAGAGAGAATGTATACACACTTATATCAGAAAAATTATTAAATTTTTGAAAGCTGTGTTAAAAAAGAAGCTACCATAACACTTCACCTTGTCTATACACAATGAAAGTAATTCTCAAAGAAGGAATCTGATAATATGACTTACTTTTTTGGTCCTTTTACACACTAAAGGAGGTTACAGCTTTAAAGTGTACATATATATACACATACCTATATACTCATATATAACCAGTTTGATTAAACTGTGATCTGGGTACACTGCAAATCCAGAGCACCTGAACATTTGCCTAACGTTCTCATTTCACAGTAATAGTGAAAGTCACTGGTATGATATCTCTGAACCTCATGGAACCAGCACACAAAATCAGGGTTTGTGCCTTTGTATCTCAGGGGGAAGAGTTTTCTATTTGGGCAGTCACAGAAGGAACAGGAGAGCACCACATAACCTTCATGTTTTGTGACATCCTGATCTACTGGAAAGACAGGTATCAACTATGAGCACTGTAGATCTTTAGGCTGTGTTACTTTTCTTTAAGTACTTTTCTTTGTGTAGAAGCTGCATTTTTTTTTATGTGACCTTACAGAGATGAAAAAGGATGCTCCTATACCATACCATGCTTTACACAGAATAGACCTTAGAAGGAAAGACCACACATGCCTGTAATTAAAAAGCATAACTGATATTAGATAAAAAAAATTCATGCAATATATTTAGGAAAGGAATATTCTTTCTTCAGGTCCACTTACTTGGGTTTGGAGGGAAGAGCGTGCAGCTTTTGCAGTGAATTATTTCTTTGACTACAGGCACATCTGTTGGTGGTGGTGGCGGCACTAACCCCATGCCTGGTATCATTGGGTTAATCGGAGTGATTCCAGTCATCATGCTAAGGCTTGGATCAAAGCCTGGTACACAGATTGAATCTGTAAGTATAGAACATAAAATCCCAGCTTATAAATCTTGAAACTACCTGTTAAAATTTTCTTGTACAGACAGTTTCACTTTGTTTTCCTTGTTTGTTCCCACAAGCGTCACTTTGAGAATTAGGAGAAGGAGAAAAGGAAAAATGGAAAAAAAGAAAAGGCAGAGAAATAGGGAGAAGATAGGGAGAAGGAGAGAGAGAGGGAAAGGAAGAGGAGGAGGGGGATGAGGAGGAGGGAGCTGCATTCTCAGTGGAAAAAAAATAAACTACGCATAAAAAAGGGAATGTTACATAATCTAAAATATTAACACGACTGAGTAAAACATAGCACATTAAAGTGTAAAACCATGCACCACGATTATCTGTTATTATCTGGAATCCAATTTTCTGTTCATAATGCTACTGGGGTGTTTACATTGCTTTCTGCCCAAAGCATACAAAGAATATAATTTAACATTGATATGTCCTCTCCATCTAATTGTCAGACAGATTTATCACAACATAGCCTTCTCACACATGTGACCTTGATTTACAAACAATACAGAGAAAGATGCATTTCTGGCTGCTTTATAGAAGTCTAGTTAGCCAAGACTTCTAAACAATTTTACTCTGGAATATAAATTTTCAGCTGCACAGAATGGGGTCTTTTTGAACCTTGGAATTAATTCCTTCTTGTTATTTAATCGGATTAGTAGATTCTCCTCAACACATGTACTATTAACATATAGCACTACAGCCTCATAAAGTAAAATGAATATTTGGCAAGCATTGCTCTTTCTCCTTCCTGATCTCTTTGCCAAGACTTCCATACGTATTACTTAAAGCTGAAAGATTTACTGGGGAGCACCAGTGCTTTAACACCAAGAATTGTAATAAGCAGATGTTTCAGAGGAACCGAGAGCCAACTTCTGAAATTCGCTTTCGTTAAAAACAAGGCTTTGGGTTTCTTGAGGTATAATGAATAAAATATTTTGAGAGACCTATCTCTTTGTTGGCATAACACTGCTGCTATTTGGCATCATCAATTATTTAAAAGAAGAGAGTTACTTTGGTGTTCTATACAGATTTTCTGCTGAGTTTTCTGGCTAGCAACTGGAAAGTATTTAGTGATACGTGTAAACATGGGGTTTGGTAGCTCAGGAGCTTGTTTATTTTGATGAAGCAAAGGGAAGAGGGAAACAACAACTTCTCAAGCATTTTATATGTATGTATATACGCACACATATACATACACGAGATCAGAGCTTATTTTTAAAGGGCAGCATGATTAATGAAATGTGACCAGAGAGACACCAGTTTCTTCATCCCAAATCTGCTGCTGAGAAGCTATGTGGCCTTGGGTCAGCCCTCTGACCTTTCCATATCTTCATTTCTACATCTATAAAACAGGCACAGCAATACTCACTTACTGTTGAGTACTAGCTCACTTTTTTATAGCACTTTGAAGGTGTAAAGCACTCTGTGGGGGCTCAAAATTAGCATTATTATTCCTGTGGAACATCCATAATCGTCTTCTCCAGGAAGGACAACTGAGGACTGAGAGCTACTCTAAGAGAGCTCATATCTGTCTCAACTGCACGCTCCCTGTTCTTCACGCACCGACTGTGAGCCTTTACCACCTTCAGGCAGTCCTGTACAACAAGCGTAGCAAGTGCACAGTAAGCAAGGATTTGCTTTGGGCTTAGTGAAGACTAGTATTAATGAAAAGTCATGATATTACATTACTTTTTTTAATAAGTGGGTTTATGAAAAAGGATTTGCTCTGGGTGTGATGCTTTTTTTTCAGTATTGATGTATATGCATTGCTTTTCAGATTTAGCTTTGAAACTTGGAGCCTGTCGTTTATTCTGCAAGATGCAGTGATGGCTATATATTAAATATTCATGGTGAATTCTGAGTGATAAAGTTAGAGGTGAAAGAGCAACATATAATTCAAAGAAGTCCTTAGGCTATGCTAATAATCTTAATCTCATTTTTACAAGTCAGGCTTCTGACAGAAGACCATCCTGTGTAGCACTCTCTGGCTGTGTGTGGAACTCCATCCTGGCTATTTGCTGTTAAAGCATCCCATAGAGCGCAGTGGGATGCAAAGCGGGTCACCACGCTAACATCCAACACACTGTGTCATACCAGAACTCTCCTGGGATCAGGAGAGGCCAAATGAGGCATTTTGTCCATTCCTCTGGACAAGTGCAGGGTCTGCTACAGTCCCAGCCAGATAAGAAATTTCATATTGAATCCAATATCCACAGCAGACCTGCAGCATTCTGAAACATGGGTACAGGATGATGGACAGAAGGCCAAGTTCTCCCTGTCCCCTAAGTACCTTTCAGGCCCCATGTCACAGCCAAGGAAAATGATCATCATCTGGCAAGTGCTACCACAAAGTGTATTTAGCTTTTTCTATTCTGTCCTTAAGACAACCACCAGACACATTTCAGCTTCTCTCCAGGGCTAGTGGCATGAAATAACAGCAAACTCTGCCCAAACCACAGGCACATGCTCTCACCCAGAGCAAAGACGGCAGGTTTCAATAAGGTACAGTTTTCTGAATTTTCTTTTGGCAGTGGTGTAGACATAGAGAAAAAAAAAAATCTCAGGGAGATAACCACAGGGAAACACATGTCCACAAACACTGTGAATCTGGGCATGGGGAGGGAGAGCTTTTAAGATGCATGCTAATCAGAACAGGCTTGTGAATCAAGCAGAAGAAAATTATTTGCCACTAATTCCTGGCACATCCAAGGAAATGTGACTTTGTGAGTAACTTTGCCTGTGTTATATAAGTACACAGCTTTGTCATCAGTTTCTTTTACAACCAGAATCAATCTCAAAGAGCATGAGCAAAGTGCTGGGGTCCAGTCCAACACTCATGGAATATCCTTCTAGGAATGCTGGGACTCTGTGCCTTCAGAAGGTGATTGTGCTGAGGTATACTGAAGAGCGCTCAGTCAATAACTCTTGAAATCTAATTCCACACCTTGCAGGCACTAATCCAAGCCATGCTAAGGTCAATAGCAAGACTACTGAAGGCACAAATAGATTTTAACCCTGACTAGGTTTACTTTCACTGTCCTCTTGAATCAATTGCTTCATTTTCCCAGCATGCTAAATTAAGAATGAAATGCTTTTATACATGGCATGAGCACTGAGAGGATGCACAGATACCAATGGTTGAGCATCCTGGAAATGAAAATCATTCTCTGAAAACTAAAGACTATTATCATGCATTGCAGTGATGGAAAATCCAGATGAATTTCTAAAGAATGAAGCTCTTGTTTAGACCCCGAAGAGACTGGTGGTGCTTGCATCTCCAGAGGAGCTGATGCATGCCACCTGGCTCTTGCTGACAAACCATGACAAGAGACTATAGATGAGATGTCCAAAGGAAATACTAGTCTGGAGTCTGAGGTGCAGAGAAAAATGAACGATAAAGTCACCGGAAAGGAAAGTCAATAAATTTGCCACATCTGTGATAGGATCTAGAAGAATCCTGAGTTTAACTATATTAATGCTATTGAGTGGTGCAATAATAGAAGTTGGATATATAGCTCTTGTCTTGAAACAAGGGATGATCATTCATCAGCACCACCACTGCAGTCTGCTCCATGTCCTGGCAAATTGCCTATCTGGAGCAGGGCCAGGACACCAAACTTAGCACTGGAGGCAACTCCTGTTGAACTAACTGGTAAGATTGTTGGTCTTCAGCATGAAAGAAAATTATAAGAGTTATGCAAGTATTCCAAAAAAATAGGAATCAATCCTGCCCATGTAGATTTTTAACAGAACACCTTAAAGACATGATTATAAAGATATTGTAGACATTATTATATTACACTAAACAAAAAGATATATTACATTTATAAGCAACACATCTGAAGAGTTAAAAAAAGCAATACTTTATGCTTTAATTGATCATAGATTCTCTTTAAAAAGATATATATATATTTATGCAGCTAGGTAAGGGTTTATAAATTATTTAAAAAAAAACAGAAGAAGAGACAAAATTTTCGTTTAAAAATGTTAATAAACAATTACTAAGTGAAATCATTAAAATGGAAAGTAATCAGAGATCATAAAGAACTTTAAGAATGGAAAAGTACATGTTGATCAAGTTAAGAGTCCTTGTGAGTACTGTACAAAAGGCTTGAACATTCACATATTTGTATAGGAAAATAAAAGCATTTAACATCAGTATTTTGAAGTCCATGTTCTGCCTAAATTTGGCAAAACAAGTTAATTCCTATTTCATCTGATAAGAAATTGGCATGGTGGAGAAAAATTAAAACCTCTGGATGCAAATATTTGGAATTGGCAGTTAGAGAGTCAATAAGAAAAACCTTGAATATGTGGAGTAGTTTTTAGAGCTTCATTCTCTTTCAAGTGGAATAAAAGAAAAAAACACTTCACAGGAAAACTCTGATTCTGAAAAACCAGAAGAACAATAAAATCCCTTTGATGAAAGCTACATTCTAACACAGTAAGTAGTGTAAAACAATTGCTTTTATTAGGGTCCATTTTGGAAGGGCAGGAACAACATTGTCTTCCACAAAAATAGCCATACGATTTTGTAGAACCATCCTCCTTTCCTTCTTTGGCAATGATTGGTGTCTGAATCACCTTATATTTTTGCCACATTGTTGCTGTGACTAGGTAAGAAGGATGTTTACTCCTGCCAGCTGTGCTTTTGGGTATTGCACTCCATTGCCAATACTAAAGTTACCATCACATTTCCACCAGCCCCTGCCACAAGGTATTTATCTGCTCAAAATCACTTTTAAAGGGTATAATCCCCTCTACAATTCACAGTATCAGCTCTTGGGTCTGTTTTTTGTCTGTTTTTTTGTTTTGTGGGTTTTTTTGCCTGCAACTGCCAATTGTTTCTGTGGAGTTTTATGACAGCTGCCAAGTTGTATTTCTGTTGGATGCATAAGAACATCCACAAAAAAGGGTTTGTTTGTGAGCCCCTGCTCGCACACATGGAAGGTTTCCACTATGGAC